TTAGGGCTTTATAGGTCATCACCAACACCTTGAATTGGGCCCGGACTTCAGTCGGAAGCCAGTGAAGCTGACGGAGGACTGGAGTCACGTGAACATAATGCCCAGTCCCCGTCAGCAGCCTGGCAGCTCTATTTTGAACCAATTGAAGTATCCGGACCGTCTTCAAGGGTAGCCCCATGTAGAGCGCGTTACAGAAGTCAAGATGGGAAGTCACCAATGCGTGTGCCACTGTCGCCAGGCAGTCGTACTCCAGGTAGGGGTGCAGCTGATGGATCAGCCGCATCAGCTATGCCATGGAGTACTGCAGGGGTCCATTTTGTCCCCTTTGCTGTTTAACATCTACATGAAACCGCTTTCATGCTGCATATTGAAGAGGTGTCACTTTCTCAAGCGTGCCACTCAGCACCTCTTCCTTATTTGCACAAGAAAGACAAAGAGGCTGACCAGGTGGTAGGCAGGATAGGAATACACAAGACACTGCCACAGAGAGTGGCAGCAAGAGCAAAATGAGTAATTCTAGCTGTCATCCGCCGTGGTCAGTTTTCCTACATTTGCCATCTGCTTGGAGGAAGGAGAATGAAACCAGGTAGGAAAATTCAGGAAAGCCTGCCACAGAGCTTCTTCAAGTGACAGTGAGGCCCAAGGAGACCTCCCGGATCTGATTTCGAGGCCTTGAGATCAATCTCTGAGGATCCCAACTGTATCCTACCCTTTTAGCAACGCAAAAGAATGCAGACTTTTTCTGAATGCCGAATGTATCTCTCTTCAAACAAACACTCAAGAGCATGATGAGTCTCTCCCTAGTTGAATTTTTAATAATACATTTCTTTTGGAATAGTCCCTTGACACAATACGTTTGACCCATTTCTTTTTCTTATTATTTTCTCACAAAGTCTTTTAGGGTGCCAGGGTGGATGGGAGGGAAGAAACAAACGGAGCAGTAAGCACAACTTACCACCTGACTCTCCACATGCCTTCTCTGAGTTTTGCTCTACTTCTTCCCTTGTTTTGCTGGACTCTGGAGGGCAGCTTACCGGAGCCTCTCTTTCAGGTGCTGCTGTTTCCAGAGCTTTCCCTTCCTTCTCCACTGGGAGTGGAGCATCCACCCCCACCTCCAGCACCCGAATTGTCTCATGACTTGACATCACAATCACCTGAGAAGAAACCGAAAAGAATTAGTGGGACATAAGTGGGCCCAAAGCAGATGATACTACAGTGCTCTAGGGTTCTAAATATCCAACAGAAAAGTGCTCTGGGTCCGTGGCAGAGCACCTGCTTTGCTGTATTTGTTTATTTATTACATTTATATACTTCCCCATAACCCACAAGATTTTCTGGACAGTTTACAAATATTAAACATGGAAAAGGCCCCAGCTGTAATCCTTGCTGTGAGTAGGTAGGGCTGGGAAAGAGGTCCCTGTTTTGAAATCCTGGAGGCTGCTACTGCTGCCAGTCAGTGTAGAAAATGCTACTCTATATGGACCAGTGGACCACCTTGGTATAAAGCAGGTTCTTATGTTGGGTCAGAGGACATGCATGGCAGCCACAGGTCAAACAGGCCATACTGTGCAAACATTATATGGGAGATCAGTGATGGAGGGCAAGAAGCAGCTTACGGTATGCATGAATTCAATAGGAAACACAGCAGAAGACTCACAGCTCTCCCTCCCACATTCTGGGCAAACTCCCTATAGTTGCATTCCCGCACAGAAACGCACATAGACGTCACACACACTTCTCCTGGAGTGCACAAGGCTCAGTCCTCAGTATGTCAATGCCTCTGTGGCCAGCCTAGCGGTGAGCATTTGCACAAATCCTGCCCTGTGGCTCTACTGTGCCACCACCAGCATTATTGGACTCGGGGGTGTAGAAATGGCACATACCTGCTCATTCACTGTCAGGGAGGCTTCTTGTGGGGGCACCGTGTCCATGACTGACTGGTGGAAGATATGGGGTAGCCTTCGAGGTGTCACATACTACAAAACCAAGAGACGCAAACATCACTAGGGTGGCAGTTAGTGGACCGGGAACTTTGATTGTTCCCCACTGCCATGGCTGGTAACTACAGATCTTATTATTATTACTGTATGTATTACATAGTTATTTACAACCTGGCCAAAACTTTCTTAAACCACCTGAGTCTCACTCTACCTGACTTGTATGTTGCCATCTGACTCTGCCTTATGTTTACACTACGTACTTCAATCCCCGCAGGCAGCTCATGCAAGCACTGACGCCCTGAATCCTCACAGGATATTCTGAGGCACACTGTGAGCTCATGCAGAGAATCCTGACACTTACTTGGCTTCCAGCACAATGGGCACCCTCTCACTTGGCCATTCCGGGTGGCTACCTTGCCGGCCGAATGGCAGAGCCAGCCTTGAATCCCTGGCCCCCTTTCCCTATCTATCTCCTCCATCTGTTGCAGACTGCAAACTCGTGGAGCAGAGACCCCATGATGCTTCTGACTCTTGTGCACAGCATCTGAAACACAGCTCAACAGACCCAACCAGTGCAGCACAACAGAACCAGCTCTTTATTTAGCCGGGTAAGAAGGGCCTGGCTGGGTGGCCACGGAGTCACATCTGCATGTAGCTTGAGAAGTGGTTGTGGACCCACTTCCCCCATGAATGAAGCACCTAAGGTGTCTATAGAAGGTGTCTATCACATGAATTAGCAGTCCTCCAATGTGGACTGAAAAGCAGTATGCTGTTTTTATTTATTTTTTATTTATTTATAACATTTCTATGCCGCACCCATCGCAGAAGCCTCGGGGAGGCTCACAATGTTGTTGTTGTTGTTAGTTGCAAAGTCGTGTCTGACCCATCACACCCATGGACAACATTCCTCTAGGCCTTCCTGTCCTCCACCATCCCCCAGAGTCCACTTAAGCTGACACTGACTGCTTCAGTGACTCCATCTAGCCACCTCATCCTCTGCTGTCCCCTTCTTTTTTTGCCATCTATTGTTCCCTGCATTAGGGTCTTCTCCAGGGACTCCCTCCTTCTCATTAGGTGGCCAAAGTATTTGAGTTTCATCTTCAGGATCTGGCCTTCTAAAGAGCAGTCAGGGTTGATCTCCTCTAGGACTGACCGGTTGATCGCCTTGCGGTCCAAGGGACTCGCAGGAGTCTCCTCCAGCACCACAATTCAAAGGCCTCAGTTCTTCGACGCTCAGCCTTCCTTATGGTCCAGCTTTCACAGCCATACATTGCAAC